TACTGCTTTACAGGTTAGACATTCGTGATCGACTTCTCCTTTAATGCATATATAATCAGAGACAGTGATATTAAATTCAGATTAAAAGTTCAAACTGCTCACCTTTTGTTAGAAGTAATGCTGGAAAAGGCTGCTGAGGGAGATCTGAGGGAAGCAGTGAGACACAAACAGGAAACAGGCGGGAAGAAAGAAATCCAGCAAAGAGCAAAGTCCACAAACTGGAACTGTGTGGCTCAGACTGCACAATTGCAACTGCATCTATACATAAAATACAAAGGTAAATCCAACATGAGTAACGCGGGAACAGGAAAAGCAGAACGGAGAACTGAAAAAGGCAGGAAGAGGAGGTGTTTGTGCAGCGCAGATGGGCGTGGCTGGAAGAGCGGTAACGCCCTCCCTCGGAGCCCTTGTTTTTTTAACAATGAAACGATGTTGGGTGATAAACACTTTAAAAAAAAAGCCTAATAATAAATACCATTTTTAATCCTTAAAAATACTAATAAAATATAAATTGCCACTCTTTTCTGTTACAGTCATCAGCCCAGCCACACCCATCCCCCAATAGATAAAATACAACTGTTAAGTTGCATATTTCAAACTCCATTGTAGTGTATTTCGCACCTCAAACCTTTTGTAAACAACTAACTCTAACTCTTTTAATAACAGAAATCTTTATGGTTTAATTTATTGTACGTGTAGTTTTTTTTTAACTGTGTAAGAATATTTAACATTATGCTATCAATACATTTAAAAAAATGCCTCTCTTCAAAATGGGTTTAAAAACATAAACAGCTGTGGGATACTGTTTGTCCATGATTTGGACAGCCCAGTGCGGGCTTCCGACGCAGGGGGATACCTACCTACCTTGGCACTAGGGCTGGTTATCATCACTGATTTCTAGAATCGGTTGAATTCCAATTCGATTCAATTTTTTCTCAGACAGTCAGAAATATTAGAATTTTGATCATTTATCAGTACTGATACTTCATCAGAGGTTTAAGCATATGCAATATACACAGCAGATGCCTTTGTGTCAAAGTAACTAAGGATAAAACACAGAAAAACATGAAGGAGATTTTCCTGCCCTGGCTTTTCCTTAAAAATATTCTGCAGTGGATCAAAAACTGAAGAAAACCGTTAATCAACATCGGATAATAGCTTGCTTGGTATAGTTAGAGAGACTGTAGATTGCATAGTGGGAGGGGGCTGGGGTGCAGGGCAGGAGAACAGCTA